GATTAAAAAAAAATGTTTTTATAGATACTTTAGTCCAGAAGGAAGGTGCTCCACAAAAAGATAATGACTTATCAGTTATCTTAAAAAATATAATTAATTACAGTTCTATAGTTTAAAGTTTGTAGAGTGCAAAAGGAGGTGCCTGGTGCAGAGGGCACATTTGAGCAGGAAAGGGGCTCTCCCTTCCTTACCTCTGTGAATGATACTCCCAAACCTTCTCAATAATGTGCTTTGTTTTTAATGTTTCTGTAAGTTTTTATCATTTCTTATGTACATAATGAAAATATTTGATTATAAATTTTTTTTTTTCGTGCTTCATATTTCATCCTATACATTATGACTTGTATAGCCAACGTCTACAAAAAAGCGAATGAAACTTTGTTCTGACCAGGGGTTCGTAGACCCATCACGACTGGTTTGTCTTCATCAAGTATATTTTCTTTGCATTACAGAAAAAAATTGATGCACTAAATATGAGGATTTTTAGTTTTGTAGTGCAATGGGCACTTTAAAGGAGACTTTACAATTTTTTTTTCGTTTTTAATACATTTTCTCCATAAATTTTTCAGAAAGATTGAATAGAGCTCCAAATAATATAACCTGCACAAAAATAAGTAATAACTCCTTAGAAAAAATGTCTCTAACAACGAGCCTGATTGAATAAAGACTGATAAGGAAGACAACATACGAGGTGTAATCGAAAAGTAAGGTGACTTCTCATTTTTATAAAAAAAAATTTATTTATTCATCTAAAACTATGTTATCCCTTTCAAAACAATACCCCTTAGAACAATGCACTTATGCTAACGCTTTTTCCAGTCGTCAAAACACTTCTGTAATGCTATTTTGGGTATTGCTTTGAGCTCCTCCAGCGATGTAGCCTTAATCTCCTCAATCGTGGCAAATCTCTGTCCTTTCATGGGCTTCTTCAATTTTGGGAAGAGAAAAAAGTTGCTGGGGGCCAAGTCTGGTGAATATGGGGGCTGAGGCATGATGAAAGTACTGTTTTTGACCAAAAAACTACTACCTAATAATGACTTGTGCGCAGGTACATTATCATGGTGTTCGCGGATACATGTCTCATACCCAAAACATCCGTCAAAATTGATTGGCATGAGCCAAACGATATGTCAAGATCATCAGCTATTCCTCTAATTGTGATTTGACGATATTTTAGTACCATTTCTAAACATTGTCGTCGA